TTGCTGAACCAATTAACTTCTGCTAAATTAGGTTAAACCAACTTTTCAGTCCGCTAACAGCTAACTAAACAACCTGCTGCTGCTAGTTTAGTTAGCTGTTAGTGGGCAAATTACCTTCTGCTAAATTAGGTTTTGAAGTTTGCTAATGGCTAACTAACAAACTAATAACATGTTTGTCAGTCCCACTAATGTTCAGGTGGAAGGAGACAGATGTGTGATAGTCATCTTAGCTGTTAGTGTTAGCTTCTACTAGGTCAGAGAAGATACATAATCCCTCCAGCAAGTCCTGGGTCTTCCTCGGGGACTCCTACCAGTGGGATGTGCCTGGAACACCTCTAAAGGGAGGCTTCCAGGAGGCATCCTAACCAGATGCCCGAACCACCTCAGCTGACTCCTTTCGATGTGGAGGAGCAGCGGCTCTACTCCGAGCTCCCACTGGATGATGGAGCTCCTCACCATATCTCCAAGGCTGAGCCCGGCCACCGTACGAAGGAAGCTCATTTCGGCTGCCTCAGTTTATTAGTGCATTAGCACTTGTTAAATTTATAGGCTAAATTTAGAAGCACTAACTGAGATCTATAATTGTCATTAATGAATGTTAATGTTAACAGCTGACAGTGAAAGCTGTCTGTCATGCATTTTGTTCATACTGTATGTGTGTCACTTATCCATTAGGCGACAATATATGAACTCAAATACGGCTGTAAAAAGTCAATAAGTCTTAAGAGAGCAACATGGCAAAATGTTGTCTGCTGAAGAATGTTCTGCTTTAGAATTGGCTTTTGCTAAATTTTTCAGTGCATTAGTGCTTTAGAATTAGGGGACCTAAATATTTGAGTTGGTGTTTTAGGGCTAGTGGAACTAATTTTTAGATTAGTGCTGTGACGTGTATGAACAAAATGTATCACAGCTTTCACCCTCAACTGTGAACAATGGAGGGCACCATTTTATTTAGGGGTGCACTATTACTCCCACCACCACCCCCAAACTCTGTTGATGCCCCTGTTAACCGCGGCTAAATAGTCTTAGGGGAAGAAGTGCTATAGTTCAGTCAGTTTTACAGATGATGAGCTAAATTTTGAGTGATGTGCATTATTTCAAAGAACTGACATGTTTCACAGCATGACCATGAAGTAGAATATTTTGCATTTATTTTAAGGTATTTTCTTGTAAGTGGTGGTTCCTGCTGCACAGTCGTCATGGTGAAAAAACACATGAAGGAGATCATTTGTGGCCTTTATAAATTTGCATGCGGTTGTAATTAGACATTGTTTCTAGGTGTGGGTGAGAAGGTGAATGGTTTGTAGTCTCGGTGTCCCCATGATGAACTGGTGACCTCTCCAGTGTGTCCCCTGCTTCTCGTACACTTACTGCTGGACACCAGTGGCCCACCATGACCTGGAGAGGAATAAGCAGGTAAAGCTAATGGACACACACTGAATACTAAAACTGATTTCAGTTATTTTTGTCATTCTTTTAAAGTAGTAGAATAACATGAATCTGTGACGAACTGATTCACCTTATGGGTTGGCAAAAGTTCAAAACTCAGAGCATGCTGTCACCGTCACGCTAATTTTCACGTTGCAGGTACAGTGGTTTGCAAAAGTATTCATACCCCTTGAACTTTTCCATATTTTGTCACATTACAACCACAAACATAAATATATTTC